ACCACGGCGACGGGTGGCGTCGCTGCAACTCGAAGTTGGTAATAACAATATATGACCTTGTATGCATCTTCATAGTGATCCCGCTTCTTGATTGGTAGTAGAGATTTTCTTTTCTTTTTTCCTTACTACATTTCCAAACAGGGCTTAGCCCTCGACGTTTGGCTTTAGTAGCACCGACACGGCACCATGAATATGTGGGCACCAAACCGGTGAACTCTCCGGCCGTCCGATGGGTTTTCCATCGAACTGATGAACGCGTTCATGCGGCCCGTGTTTATGTCGAGGCAATATCAACACTTTTTTTATAGAGAAATGCACGAAGTACACAAAAAATAAAACAAAAATAAAACAAATATGTGGAAAAAATGAAAGAAAATGCATGTTTTCTTTCTGTAACGTTGCGGCCGTGCGTGACTCACTCGGTTTAAGAGACGCGTGTGTCTCAGAAGTTCTACTAATTTTTTTAATTATTAAGTTGATTCACTTACTCTTTATTATAATAAAAAGAACATTTCAGAATGAAAAATAGAAAAGTTTTTTCTTGATCATTTATCAACCCTTTCCTGTTTCTAGGAATATACGTCTTTCTGCTGAAGAGGATCTATTAAACTCATAATTCATTAGATCCTTGTTATCAATGCCAACTAGGTATCACAAGTAAATGGATCCCGGTTGTTCAGTCCTTTGATGGCCCAATGAACTGCCCCACAACTACATAGGTATTGAGTTGGACCTGCTGGGCCTTAGCGTTTGACCGATTTTGTATATATACTATAGGCGGAACATATATCAAGGGAGTGTGTAGATATTGTACGCACTGAGACTGAACCTGGTATCCCCTCAAGGCGCCATTCCATCCCTACTTAGTGGGCCGACCCAATTAGTTTTTCTCTTCTTCTTCGCTTCTTCATTCATTTTTTTGTTCTTTTACTTTTGATTGTATTTTAAAAATGATAATTACATATATTACAAAACTTAATTCATTTAATTTTGGAAAATAACCACCGATAATTTAACACAGTTTAAAAATTTGTTCGTGTTATATTTTTAAAAATGTGGTAGAATTGAATAAATGTATGTGACACTTTGAAAAAATTGTTTGTCATATTTTTTAAATGTTTATATGATTTTTCAATCATGTTCCTGTAGACTATTCTAAACTATTCACGTGTTTCACAAAAAGTTCATATTATTTATGAATAGAATGTAAAAGATGTTCACATTGTTTAGAAACATGCCGGTCGAAGCAACCATGCATCCCTGCATGAGCCGACGGTTGCGTCCAAGAACACAAGAGCAAAAGAAAAAGAAAAAAAGGCTCGGACACACCGTGCCCGCGGTGCTTTGCTCCTCTCCTGAGTCTCCTTTCTCATCCTCCTCGGTGTTGATTTTTTTAGGGATCCATCCACAACATGATTTCGAACTAGGGTGGTTACCCTAAAAAATAAAAATATCTTCATACAAATCTTTCATCAGATTTTTAACCATGCAAACTATGTTGTTGGGAACCTAACCAAACATGGGCACCAGGTCCTGCTAGACGATCTTCGTTCAATGGAACTGATCGAGGGACTTCAAGAAAGATCTTCAACAACACTTTTTCTGCTGCAACTCGAAGTAGATAATAATCAGATATGACCATGTATGCATCTCCATAGTGATCCCGGTTCTTGATTCGTAGTACGGATTGTTTTGTTTTGTTTTCTACTACCTTTCCGAACAGAGTTTAGCCCTCGACATTGGGCTTTAATAGCACTGACACGACACCATGATTGTGGGCACTAAACCGTTGAACTCTCCAGCCAGTTTTTAAATTTCGCATTTACTTTTTATTTTATTTCCATTTTTGTTTTATCTACTTTAAATAATTTGGGACTTAAAAAAGTTTAGAACTTTAAAGAATGAGAACTTTGAAATAAAATGCTTAATAAATCATAAAATGTTTGTGGATTCAAAAAATATTCGTTATTTTGTAAAAAAATATTCAGAAATCAAGAAATATTCATCATTTTTTAAGAAGTTTCTGTATTAGAAAGTTTTAATGTAATTATGCAAAAGTCCGTCAATTTAAAGAATGTTCATGAATAGAGAAATATCCTAAAATTCAGAAACTGCTCGGGACTTTAAAAATAGTTTATTTAATCCTAAATTATTTGTTAAATAAAAAAATGTTTGTGAATTTAAAAAATAGTCCCACCAATTTTCAAAACAATGTTTGTCCATTCTAGAAATATTCGCCGATTGAAGAAAATTGTAAAAAAGAAGGTTATCTTTTTTGCGAATAATATAAAGTGTTCA